GCAAAGTCTAAGTGGTCACTTTAATGGTTCTGTGTTTGTGTTTACTTTAGCAGTAGTAAAAGGCATTCTTAGCATAGTGTATGTTTGAGAGTACAAAGAGCTTTTACAACCAGGTGAGGACTGGAGGGACAAGACAGAGCATTAGTTTGAGGTGTAGATGGAGCAAGGGTTGCTTGACAGTTAATTCAGAGTGTGAGTTGGATGAGGCCCATTAATGCATGCTTGTAACCCACCTACTTGGGAGGCTGAGGCAGGGGAATTGAAAGGTTGAGGTCTAGTAGATTTCAGAGTGAGTCAAAGCTAGCGTAAATAACTCTGCCACTCTGCCTCAAAAGTAAAAGTAAACCAGGGCTAGGGACTTTGCTTAGTGATAGAGAGGTGGCCTAGTTAAAAGGCAATGCAGGGTTCACCTTACATCTTAGTGGCACTTCCTTGGAATGCATCTATTGCTAATCTACGGAAAATAACTATCTATAAGCTGTGCTTTAATGGCTGTATGATCACCGTACCATAATAAGCTAGAATCCCTAGCAAAACACTTGCAATTTTAATTATGTGTATGCATGTGTGTCTGCATATGTCCACATGAGTGCAAGTACCTGTAGAGACCAGAAGAGGATGTCGGATTCCCCTGGAGCTGATGCTTCTGGTGGTTGTGAGCCACCCAACATGAGTTCTGGAAACTGATGTCCTCTGAGAGGGCACTATGCACTCCTAACTGTTGAGTCAACTCTCTGGCTCCCCCAAACCCATTTTTTTTTAAATGTAAGCCTATCTTGATTTTTTTTGTAATGTAAGTCAGTTGTTCAGTAACAGTTTCTTTTCTTATTGCTATGACGGAATATCTAACAACAGTAACTTAAGGGAGAACGGGTTTACCTTGGCTCACAATCAGGTATGGGGTGGGGGAGATGCTAATCCTAGGCTCGGTTTCTCCTTTTTATTCAGTTTAGGACCCCAGCCTACAGGATGGTGCCGCCCACAGTCAGGGTGGGTCTCACCATCTCAATTGACCTAATCTAGAAATCCCCTCACAGACATGCTCTGAGGGTGTCTCCTGAATGGTTCTGGATCCCATCAACTTGACCACCAGTCTCAACCACCACAGCCTGTTTGAATAAGATCCTCACATCTAGAGCTAGCTTCTAGAAAACACTAAGAAACCAACACACACACACACACACACACCCAACACATACCCTATCTGCTCTCAATCACTCCCATTCTCTTTTAACACTTGAGGAAATTTAAAAAGAACCAATAGGTATACAGTACATCCAAGTCTCCCACGGAAAATATTTGAATATTTCCCATCTATTTTCTTCTCCCGCTCTTTATGCCTCTCAATGAGAAGAACGGGTACCACTTACATTCATGTCAACACAAAAGGCCTCTGTCTGTGCACATCACCTATTAAAGCATTCAGAGATTCAGTGTCAAGGTATGTATTATACACACTTTTTTCCCTGGGCCATTATCAGCGTTCTTACAACACCATTATTCTTCAGCCCAGCTAATGCGCCTGTCAAAGAGTTAGCAACAAGCATGGAAAAATGTCAAACAGTAGGAAAGAAACCTAACTGTTCTTCGCAACCTCAAAGGGGAAAGAAAAAAAAAAAACACAAACCAGGTTGTCTTTTATGGAAACTCAGAACCATTCCAGGTTACAGTCCAATGGGTTTTATCTGAGGACAGAGGTGCAGAATGTTTTATTTGTATTTCTCTGCACACCTGAGTCCCTTCTGAATAATTTCCTTTTTTTTTCCTTTCTCTCTTACCAATATACTTAATAAAAATAGAACCCAGGTTGTTATCTTTGTGCTTTCTTCCCAGGAGGTACCAAGCTCGGAAGGAGACAGAAATCACCTGCAAGCCTCACCCAGCCCTGTCTGCGGATTCCTGTGATAAGATTTAAGGGGCAGTAAAAAGGTCCTCGGGAGAAAAATATTTTTCCAAGCTGCTTACCGGGGTCCGGAGAATTACAGCCCCTCTGCTCTTAAGACATTGAGAGCTTCCATTAAAATGCAAATATAGGAGGTGAGTTACTTTATCAAAGTATCACACTTCAGCTTGAATCAGTTTATGGCTTAATCCCAAAATCCAAAAACTGACCAGACGGGAAGTTTGCCTCAGATGAAAATAAAGGCCATAAGAAGGTTGCCAGTTGGAGACCAGTCTGGGATACATAGGCTCTCCCTGTGTTAGCCGCTGTGCTCAAAATACCCGATAGAAGCTAATTAAGGGAGGAAGATTTATTTGGGCTCATAGACTCAGAAGGGTCAGTCCAGCACTGTGAGGGGGCGTGGCCTCAAAGGGTCTGCCCATGGCGGCTGGAGTATGAACTGAGAAGCCTTACTTCCTGGCGTCTTGTATCTCGGTGAGACCAGAAGCAGAGTTCAGTAGGGGATAAAGATATCTACACCACCCCACCCCACCATGTCCCCCCACCCAGCATGACCCATTTCATCCAGTAAGGTTTCTATAGACTCCCCAAACAGTGGCACAATCTGGGGACCAAATGTCCAAACAAATGAGTCTGTAGGGGACCTTTCACATTCAAACTGTAACACTGTGTAAAAACAAGAGACCCAGACAGAAAGAAGGAAGGAGAGATGGAGGGGGGGAGGGAGGGAGGGAGGGAGGGAGTAGGAAATAGGTGGGGGGGGGTGCTGCAGAGATGACTCAGCAGTTAAAAGTGCTTTCTGTCCTTCTAGAGAACCTGAGTTCAGTTCCCAGCACCTATATCAGGTGGGTCACAACCACCTGTAACTGCAGCTCCAGGGTATCCGAGGATCCAAGGCCATCTTCTAATCTTCTAGCTTTTATGAGCACTGTACTCGCAGAAATACACACACACACACACACACACACACACACACACACACGGGTCAGGGGAGGGAGCAGGGAGGGAGGGACACACAAATAAAAATAAGTCTTTTCAGGAATCAGGGTTTATTCCTAGGCCACAAATGGACTTGGGGAGCCCACCCCCAATGGAGGGATTCTATTGCAGTCCAGAAACCGAAAGGGGGGCCTGGGATGTGATGGATTTTGATGATCTCCCCGTGGAAGGCATCACTATCCTTGGGAAGTGGGTGGTGGGTGGGTTGGGGCGAGTCAGTGGGAAGCAAGGGAGGATGGGAAGTCGAGGGAATGGGGGGATGGATATGTAAATAAGAGTGTTTCTAAAAATAAAAATAAAAAGAGTCAGTGCCAGCTGGGCGTTGGTGGCGCACGCCTTTAATCCCAGCACTTGGGAGGCAGAGGCGGGTGGATCTCTGTGAGTTCGAGGCCAGGCTGGTCTACAAAGTGAGTTCCAGGACAGCCTCCAAAGCCACAGAGAAACCCTGTCTCGAAAAACCAAAAAAAAAAAAAAAAAGAGTCAGTGCCTACTGACTCTCCTCAACAGCTCTGGCTAAGCAACAATGGCCTTGAACTTCAAAGATAGTGTCAATGAACCATTAAAACATACAAATGGATGATTCTCCTGCGGGAAGAACAGTCTCATGCAGATTACTTCTCATTTTCCCCTTTGTCTGGACCTGCTCAGCACTTCTCCTCGCTCCCTCCCTGGCTGTGTCAGAGGAAGTGTACACCCTGAGGTAGACTCTGTCAGTGATCTGTCTCCAGGATTCCCATTCCATTCCGGATGCTGAAAGGCGGGAAGTTTGCAGAGAGGAATGGTAAACCAGAGCTGGGAGGTGACTTGGAGGCTAAAAGCGTTTACTGTTCTTGTGGAGACGCCAAGTTTCATTCCCAGAACCTGTGCCTGATAACTCACATCTGCTTGTAACTCCAGCTCCAGGGATCCTAGGTCCCTGGCTTCTGCAGGTACCACCCCATGTGGAATTACTTAGACGCAGTGGCCGAAAGTCACTGAGATAAAAAAAGTCTGGGCACCGGGGAGGTAGTTCAGTGAGTAAAGTTTGCTTTGCCCAGGAACTTGAGTTCATTCCCCAGAACCCACTTAACAAAAAAGCACTGGGGTGGTTTACAGTTTCAGCACCAGGGAGGCAGGGGCAGGCAGATCCCTGGGGCTCCATGGTTAACAGGCCCAACAAGCCAGGCTTATGCCAATGAGAGAAGCAGGTGGATAGCAACTGAGGAACACCGGAGGCTGACCCCCCAGCCAAGCACAATAGTGAGTACACGCGTGTGCAACACAGAGATAGAGACAGAGAGAGGCACTGTCAGAGACAGAAGACATCTAGACACTAGGATGGGATGGGTGAACATTGGAAGGCAGAGCCTTTTGCTGTATTTCTTCTAGATTTTGTATATATCCATATATTCTTATGCTTATACACACACACACACACACCAGGTCTAACGCGGGGTCTCTTACAGGCTAGGCAAGCACTCCACAAAAGAGCTGAACCCCCAGCTTGCTGACTATTTTCCAATACTATGCTACAATGTTAATTTTCTATTCTGTTTTTCTCTTAAGATGATTTTTTTCAATTAGGGGTGTGTGTGTGTGTGTGTGTGTGTGTGTGTGTGTGTGTGTGTGTAAGAGAGTGAGCCAGACTCCGTTCTCTCCTCCCACCATGTGGATCCCAGAGGTTACACTCACATCATTACATTTGCACAGCAAGGAACTTTACCCACAGCCCATTTTTTAAAGTTTTTTGTTGTTGTTGTTTTAACTGAGACAGGATCTCACTATGTAGCCTAGGATGGCCCAGAACTGGAGGAAATCCATGCTTCTGCCTCTCAATGACTAGGATTATAGGCGTGTGGTCACTACGGTAAACCCCTTCAATTATTTTACATTTTATTTCCTGCATCACTCACACTGAACCCTACACCTTTTTAAAGCCTTCCCTCCTCCCTAGGTCTTCCATTATCTGCTTTTTCTTGCTGACTCCACGCTTAGTATTCACAGCACGTATTCCCCATCTTACAACATGCTACCCTGTTCACTAATTATTGGAATCACTCAATTTGGCCCTTGAATCTACGCTAATTACCGTATGCTAATATATGAAATCGCGCCTTACCCCCATTCTCCGTGTGTGTGCCTTCACTCTGATCTCCAGCTCTGCGGGCAAGTTCCTGTAAGCCAGTCCTATCCTTCACTCGCACCTTTAAGGGAGGAGATCCTGTCAGACACAGGATCACCTTCCCCTTGGAGGATGCCAGCAACCACGTGCTTCAGGCAACGGACTGGAAAACGAAGAACTCTTTAGAAGTTAAACTGATCTATATAAATCTTCAAGGAAGCCAAACCAGCCATTCCCTTAGCACAGCCTGTGCTCTCCAGGAGAGAATATTGCCAAAAGGTCGCCAAAAATCCTCCCGAGAGATTATCTGACATAGTCAAGACTAAGCACCGTACCTTGAGGGCCGGGGATGTGGCTCAGTTGGTGGAGCGCCTGCCAAGTGTGCACGCATGCGTAAGTCCCTGCAGGTGCGGAACAATAGAAACTGAGTGCGCACGGAGGGTGATGCCTGTAACGCCAGCGCTCAGGAGTTAGACAAGAAGATCAGGGTCCAAGGTCATCAGGGGCTATGTAGTAAGTTCAAGGCCAGCCTGTCTCAAAATAAAACACAGCTTCAACCTTATCCCTAGAGGTCTTGAATAAATGGATAGCTCAGGGTTAGGATCTCAGTGCCCTCCTACATAAACTCTTCCAGACCTTTAACCCAGCCCTCCACTGACCGGAAGACAGGTCAGGAGCCTCCTGGCAACTGCCTGAGCTGCAGCTGCCGCGAGGCTTTGGATTAGAAAGAGCTTCTGTGGAGGAGGACAGGAGACGTGGCTAAAGCTGGTAAAGGGCTTGCCGAGCAAGAGTCTCCATCCCCAGGGCTGCATACATGGGGAGTGGTAGCATAAACTCGCAATCCCGGCTCTCGGGAAACAGAGGCAGGAGAAGTCTGTTTCCTTTTACGAGCTTTTGTTTTCTGGGTTTGCGTGTGCTTGTTTGTGTGTAACTTAGTTACCTGAACATCTTGTTAACATGTAGCTGAAACTGGCCTTGAACACTAAGCCCTCCTGCCTCAGCCTCCCACTGTTGGAAGGACAAGCACGAGCCACACGTCTGCCTTGAATTGTGAATTTATTTTATTGACTGATTGTTTGATTTTCAAGACATCACCTCATTGCATAACCCTGATTGGCCTGGAACTCCATATGTAGACCAGGCTGGACCTGGAATATTTTTCAGTCTTCCTGAGTACTGAGATTAGACACATTTGCCACCATACCCAGTTTTGTGAATTACTAAACTTAACATGTTTTACCATCACAGCTAGGTCCCTTGTTGTGGTTTCAAAACAGGGTCTCACTATGAACTACAGGAGGGTCTTTTTTTTTTTATTAGAAACAAGCCTGCTTCACAGTCAATCCCAGCTCCCTCTCCCTCCCCTCCTCTCCCCCTCACCAGCCCTCCCAATTCCCCACCCCATGCCTGCCTCCCCAGAGAGGGCAAGGCCCTCCATGGGGGAATCTCCAAAGTCCATCACACCATCCAGGGCAGGATGCAGGTCCTACCCCATATGTCCAGGCTGAAAAAGCATCCCTCCATGTGGAATGGGCTCCCCAAGTCCATTCATATGCCAGGGATAAACCTGAGGCCCCACAGACTGATGAGGCCTCCTCACTGACACCCACATTCAGGGGGTCTGGATCAGTCCCATGCTGGCCTCTCAGCCATCATTCTGGATTCCATGAGCTCCCCCCTTGTTCAGGTCAGCTGTCCCTGTGGGTTTCACCAGCCTGGTCTTGATCCCTTTGCTCATCACTCCTCCCTCTCTGCAACTGAGTTCCAGGAGTTCAGTTCAGTCTTCAGCTGTGGGTGTCTGCCTCCACCTCCATCAGTCACCAGATGAAGGCTCTAGGATGGCATATAAGGTAGTCATCAATCTCATTATCAGGGAAGGGCATTTAAGGTAGCCTCCCCACTATTGCTTAGATTGTCAGTTGGTGTCAGTTGGTGTAGATCTCTGGAAATCTCACTATTGCCAGAGCTCTTCTCAAAGCTATAATGACTCCCTCTATTATGGTATCTCTCATCCTGTTCTCCTCTGTTCTTCCCCCACTCAACCTTCCTGCTCCTCCATGTCCTCCTCTCCCCTCTTCTTTTCTCCCTCTCTTTTTCCTCCCCTGGCCCCATGCTCCAAATCTGCTCTCTGTCCCATTCCCCTTCTCTGGGGTACCATGCATATCTCTCTTAGGGCCCTCCCATGCTTCCCAGACTCTACAGGAGAGTCTTAAACTCCTTATTCTTTTGTCTTGGGCTCTCATCCTGGTATTATAGATATTGATCAGCTGGTAGAACGGTTTTTACTAGCTAGCAGAGGTACTGAGAAAGTGCTGGGAGAGCTTAAGTGAGGGGGTAATTAACTCTACCTGGGAACAATGAGAAGGGCTACACAATGCTAACATGCTAAAACACACAATGCTAACATGCTAATACACACAGACCTCAAGGTCCAAAGAAGGAACTTTACAATAGTTTTCTACTTTCTCTTGAACTTGAGTCACCTAAGAACTTGTTGAAAACTAAACTCCTGAGCTCTGGTCGGAAGTTTCTGATTCAGCAGTCTGGCTGGGAGCTGAGCATTCATGTCTATCATCTTCTTGTGGGTGATGCTGACCGTGGTCTGGGACTCCCTCTGTGGGAGTTGCTGCCTCGCAGGACCAGGGAGCAGCAAGCAGAAACAGGCCATGTGTGGTGATGCATGCCTCAATGCAACAATATTAGATGCACGGACCTTTGAGGAAGTGTGGCTTACTAGAGTTCCTCCCTCATGCACCGACCAGCATTGCTGTGCAAGGAGCTTGCAGAAACGGGCTCCGTCTCCTCTGCGCTTGTGCCTTCCGTCATGTGAGCATGAGCAAGCAGCATAAACGGCCTGCGCTAGAGTCCAGTACCCTTGATCTTAAACTCCCCAGCCTCCAACTATGAGAAAGAAGTTTCTGTTTCCTAGAAATTACCCAGGCTGAAGCTGGGCTTGATGGTGCATACCTGTCATCCCAACTTTCAGAAGGTTAGAGCAGAAGGGTAACAAGTTCAAGACCTGCCTGAATTACGAACCAAGTTCAAAGCAAACCTAGGCTACAGAGCAAGACCCCATCTCAGAAAAAACAAAAACAAAACAAAAAACAAGCAGGGGCTGCAGAAATGACTCCATCAGTAAAAATATGCGCCCTGAGCATGGAAACTGGAGTTTGGTCCCCAGCACCCACACAAAAAGTTGGTACAGTGGCATGTGTCTATGATCCCTACACAAAGGCGGTAGAGAAAGGATTCCTGGAACTCACTCACCAGTCAACCTAGCCAAAACAGTGAGCTCCAGGTCCAATGAGAAATACTGTCTCAAAAATGTGGAGAATGACTGAGGAACACACCTGAATTCTGGCTTCCACTCACATGAAGGTATATACCATACACACAAATTAATTAGTTAATTAATCAATTAATTACCCTGTATTATTCTGTTATAACAACACAAAGGACAAAAACAGAATAGCTTCATAAACCCTTTCTACCTAAGCAGTATTAGAGGGAAGGGGTTCACTGACCACTGTTCTTAGACCCACAGGGTGTCTCCTTTATTCTTCAGCCAAGGCAACTTGCCATCTGATTTCTAGTGAATACCCTGCAAAGACAGGCACTGGCAGAAGATTCTGGAAGTCAAACAGCTGGGTTCATCCCTTCCCCTGCACTTCCCCAGCTCCTGCCCCATCTCTGCCTTCTGCAGCTTGTCTTCGGAGCTGAGCATCTGGCTCCACCAGGTGAGACAACTCCTGGGATGTGATAACTTCCTCGCTGTCTCAATGGGTTGCTGTAACTGTGGGCAGCAGCGGCAGATGGCCTCTGCTGCTTATCTGAGATGACTCACCAGCCCTCTTGGCTTTTCAGCTCTGCCTGCATTTGACAGCTAGTTCTCTGCATTCGACTGTCTTCCACTAAACTAACTAGTGTGGACTCTGTGTCCCCCACCCCTACACACACACACACACACACACACACACATGTCTCTGCCAGATACATACTGATAACACAGCCCTCCTCTCTGCACCACTCATCCTAGTCTTTTAGAATCCTATTCAGGCTGGAATTATCCAAGTGGATATTAACCAAACCTCTTGTTTAAAAGTTAAACAGAAAAGCAATTCTCAACGATGCAGTAAACAAACCCAAAATAAAGCTAAAGTACAAAACAACAGCATGATAACTTGGTTCAAATGCTGGCTTGTTTTGTTGTTTTGTTTTTGATAAAACTGCTAAAGTAAACTAACTGACAAATATAAAGGGAATATTTTAATTATAAATGAGAAAAGAGATAAGACAATTTATAGAAATTATTTTTCACTGACATCTAAAGAGAATGTTACATGTGCTTGTAAACAGTCACATTGAAATCCTTGGTGAAATAAATAATTTCTAGAAAGATAAAGATTATGAAAAAGAGTCTAGATAAAAGAAGAAGAAGAATCATCAAGAAGCTAAGAAAATTATTCAATAAAAGCTCAAAAATACAATTGGTCTCAATATTTCCACCAGGGGATTGACCATAGTAGCACAACATTCAGGAGGCAAAGACAGGAGGCAATCAAGAGTCTAAGGCTAGCCTGGGCTACGTAGCAAGATTCTGTATTTTCAGAGAGGGGGCAGATTAAACATTGTACAAAATATCTGTGGTAGTCAGTGTTGATTATCAACTTGGCAGGGTCTAGATTCACCGTGGAAACAGCTTCAGACATGTCTATAAGGGAGTTTCTAGGTTGGGTGAGATGAAGTGGGAATATATTCCCAGAATGAAAGCGGCATCATTCCATGGGCGCAGGTCCTGAGCTGAACATTAAAAGCAGGGAGAGAAGAAGCTGAGAGCCAGGTACCCGGTTCTTTCTGCTTCCTAGCTGTGAACACAGTGTGACCACCTGCCTCGCACTCCAGCCTGTCACCAGGCATCCCCACCATCACAGACTGTGCTCTCAAACTGTGAGCCAAAGTTGCTTTTTCTCTGGTGTTTTGTCACAGCGAGAATATCCAGAAGACTACCCATCCAGAATGAAAAGAAAGTTGAGTCCTTTGTGTCCGATGAACCACTTTCCCCAAGGATGATAGAGAACAGGTGTGAAGAAAAACCACAGCTGCAGGTACATATGAGCATGGACAGAACAAGCTTAAAGAAAACCCTCGGCTCCAAAAAGGAACCTGCACTACTGTGATGTTGCAGACTTTCACAGCAGTGGATTTCCCATGTAGGCTGGTTTTGACCTGTAGTTAACAGTATTGCCAATAAATAACTTTTTTTTTTTTTTTTTTTTTTTTGGTTTTTCGAGACAGGGTTTCTCTGTATTGTTTTGGAGGCTGTCCTGGAACTCGCTCTGTAGACCAGGCTGGCCTCGAACTCACAGAGATCCGCCAGCCTCTGCCTCCCGAGAATAAATAACTTTTTAAAAGAAAGGTGTCGCGTCAGCTGCGCAGCCTGTGTCCGAGAACGTGCGGAGGGACTCGTTCAACGATGTAAAGAAAACTTTAAGCAGGCCCCAAAAAGGTTCAAGAAAACTTCCTAAGAAAGGCTCCCTCCAGAGAAGCTTCTGCTCTCTCCTCTCCCTGGCTGGTTCTGCTCTGACACCAAAAACTGATCTGGGCG